TACCATTTTTTTGCTCGCATAGATACTGCTTTTTTTTTTTTACTGTTTCTATCTTCTTCCTGCTTGTTTACTTTATCGAGATGAATTTCGTTGTCGAGTTCTTCGTTCACATAAGCAGTGTCAACTTCGGCGGTCAGGTATTCACATTCCGTTCTAATCACTAGTGCGTTAAAGTCATTCTTTATTCTTACGTAAATTTTCTTCAGTGTTGTGTTGTTATTGTTGACCTCTTGTTGCTATTCTTGTTATTGTTGACATCTTCTGATTTCGTTGCGTTATTTCAGTGTCAGTATTGTTCATGTGCAACCACAATGGTGCTGAGGTATTTGCAAAGCTGCGTACAGGAGGTGTCTGCGGTGTGGATCGAACACGCTATTACCTTTCCGGGTGCTGACGTGTTTGCCACTACACCATGCGCGTCCTTCGTTTCTGGACTTTTTTTGGCTTAGTTTTCTATGTAATAGTGCCATCAGCAATCACCCTTCAGCGGGATTTATCTAGGAGTAGAAATCAGCATTGATCCCAGTTAAGCTGAGAGATAGATAGAAAACTGGCCGGGATGAAGGCGAAAGGGAAAATTCACATGGTGTGGGGGAGGTGAACACGTTAGCATCCGGAAAGGTAGTAGCGAGTTTGATCCCCAGCGCAGACACATGCGGTCCGGAGTTTTGCAAATATCTCAGCATCATTTTGGTTGATTTCACATAACACTCTGCCGTGAAAAATTTGAGTAGGCAGTAAATAAAAAGTTAACACTGTGCATATAATTGTTCAGCTACCTACTGTTTTTGGGGCATCTTCAGCACCAATTTTTATAGGTGGCAAGTTAAAAGAATCGAACCATCCACCACACGAACTATCCGATACACGTAAAAGCTGACGTTTCGGCGAATTTCGCCTTCCTCAGAGCCTGGAAAGGTCAAGTTGACTGCAGTCTACGCAGCCAAACACCTTCATAACCAAACAGAGAAAATTCTAAATCAAAATTTCAATCGCATTGAACACAGCCCTGCACACTCACCGCTTTCTATGAGTCTTCCACTGAGTATTTCGTGTGAAGACCAACCGCACAGAATTTACATGGAAGCGTAATGTGCCCTTCCCAGCAGAATAACAGGCTTATATAGTGCCCAATATCACGCGTGATAATGAGGCATTCCTTCCTGCGCTTCATTTTGGGATTCTTGGAATTGATCCAGAACGCCTCGAGAGTTTTGCGCGGTTGTGTTCTCGATTCCTGTGCGATTCTTCTGCTTCAAAATGTTCTCCGTTATGTCTCTGCTTCCTATGCGTGCCTAGTGGAGTGTTTGGTTTACGTCTGCTGGCTAGGTGTTTTACACGGACGCAGAGTGCTCTACCCGTTTCGCCAATGTATTCGTCCCCGCACGCTTTACAAGAGATCAGATAGACTGTACCCGAACTCATGCAGTCACCTCTACCATTGTGGCAAATTATGCAATTTTGCGTTGCACATAGACGGTCGTATAGGCGGTTACGAACTAGCTGGCGTCTTAGATTACTCGGTAGGATTTCAATTATCGTTACCGAATTCTCTAGACTGGCCCTTCTTAAACAGCGTTGTATAGCCGCATTTACTTTATTTGAAATGAAAAGCAGGATAAACGGGACCTTATTGTCGCTAGAGTTATCGTTGGGGGACCTGTGGTTTCTTCTACACCTATCTCGAGCTACAAGTTCGTAGCCATTAAAAGTGGCTATTTGCCGTGCCAAGTTTCGGGACTCCTCTCTCTGCTGTCTTCCTGTGCACATGCTGGTAGCTTTCGTGTGAGAGGGGTGAGAGGAGAGGTGATGAACCAAGATGTTTTTGCTACTTGGCTTTCGGTACCATTTCGTAATGTAGCCGCTTTCTGATAGGTTAATTTGCACGTTCAGAAATAGAAGCCAGTTTTCTTTTGGTTCCTCTCGGGTGAATTTAATATACTCTGACTGTTCGTTCAACAACTCGAAACATCTGTCAATTTCTTCTTGTGTTGAACAAATGACCAAGCAGTCGTCTATATACCTACAGTAAAGTAACGGACTGAGGTCGATTACTGGCGCTTCCACCTTAGACATGAATGCAATGGCAAGGCTTTGTGCCAGTCGTTGTCCCATTGCCAGCCTTCTCATTTGTGCGTAATGCCTCCCGGACCAACTGAAGGTTGAGCAGTTTAGGTACTCCTTTAAGAGTGTCATCAACTGCTGAATCGAGAAGCCGTACATGTTTATTGCTCCTTCGTGTTGTATAAGGAGCTCGTTTATCGCTTGCATAGCGGAGTCATTCGACACGTTCGTATAGAGGGCAGTGACGTCGAAGGACTCCACCACTTACGCGCTGTTGGGTTGCGCGTTACCTAGACGATCCAGGAACATTTGGGTGTTCGTTAGATGGGCTGGAATGTACTTCAACAACTGGGTAAGTATTAGGGTTATTAACCACGTTATTTTATCCGTTGGCCCGTCCACGTACCTAATGATAGCTCCAACCTTAAATAACGATGGATCGATAGACACGAGATTATCGCTGGATACTAACTTATGGGTTTTGCTAAGTAAGTACAGGACGGGACCTGTTGGTAAGTCAACTTTGAGATGAGAAATAACTGATGGTTTTAACCCAGGCGTTCTTGCCATTTTAACCCATTCGTTAATCGATGGGGAATTACAACGAACTCTCCACCCTTATCACTAACGGATAGTCTTATTTTTTTTCGATCTTATCAGCTCTCGTACCTCTCGCATACCACGTTTTTGTGTTTCAGTGAGGTTGGAGCAGTATCTCTTGGTCCGATAGTGATTAAGGACTTTGTAAGTTTCATTCGTCGACGTCAGAAATTTAACGTCAACTTCATTATTGGGCTCATGTTGTCTAAAGAACGGTTGAGGAAATGGTGGTACTGGTATTGCCCCTACTCTTTGTTGTTCGCGCCTCTTTTGCGCTTCATCCCTAGCTTTTTTGCGGAGTCTATCTTGAAGTTCATGTAAACTACATGCGACCCTACGCAATAGAAAGTATTATTCAGTCAATGCCGGGGTTAGCAGAAAGTCGGACGTGGGGGTTACTACAAGATTGGTACTTTTGCTGGATTTGTGAAAACATCTGCTCCGTTTTTCCATCACCATTTTTACGTTGTTGATAGATTCTTGTACAGGTGAAACAGGTGTTAGCTTCTTGAATCTGTGAGCAACGATGAATCTATAGGAGAAAAGGAGAGGAATTGATAAGGAAAAAGTTCTATAACCAATCTTTTGAGCTCATCAACCCCCATCTCGGACTCCAAAATCTCCGCTGATGAAAAACTGCCATGGAGTCCTTCCTTCTGATTTCCTAGCTGACATAGAGTGGATTAACAGTGGCACAGCTCTAGGAATCGATAATATCACCGCTAATTTCCTTGGAGATGAGGACCACAAGTTACATGTATTACATGTACTTTTCTCCAGCACTATGCCACGAATATTTCTAACGATATTGTTTATACAGGAAGTTTTCTTTATGTTACTGCAGATAAGCAAACATATATCACATTCACAAAACTTGTTAAAACATCTGGTCATTCTATTGGGCAGGTGTAGCGGATGTCGTTTAATACGTGCAGGGTCACAGTTCAAGCCCGGTAGGTTCGAGGAAGAATCGATAAACCAGTAGTCAACGACATTCATAAGTTCGAGAACCTTTGTGGAGGGTGGATGCTTGGGAATGAATGAACTGGAGGAAGTGCTAGAAGAGGCACACTGTATGATGTCGGGTCATGTAGAAAAACACTATGCACCGTGTATTATAACAGATTCCTTTATAAAGAATAAAGCTCGGCGTTGATCAATCCGTGAGAGATGCGCCATGAATTCTACTTCATTAAGTATCGTTGGAGGTTATTGAATGCATATCTGGCCTACTCACGGTGGCCTACCGATGTATCGAGCCAGTGCTGCTATCCTCCCAGACAAGTTTGGTACCATTTGCATACAGATTACATATATTGCTGACATCTGTATCAATTTCTGGTCAGTTTCCAGACGTTGTTAATGTACAGAATAGAACAAAACACTTTCCCCTCAATGGTTTGAAAAGAAATTGATTTTATTCAGCGACAAATCTATACGCACTGATCAATTCAAATGTAGTTTTCATGTTAATCTCCTCCTTAAGATGTACTCCTTATGTATCATTGGGTGACGAATATTGAAAGTTTTTGTAGTAGTTCGTGGTATCACCTCGGGGCTACAGAGGTATTCCAACGTATACGATCGTGGAAATGAACGGTCGACAGTTGAATTTTATTGGGTCTATGAGAACCCACATTTTTTGAATTCTGTTATTTGCCTTATTCCATAAGTTGAATAGTTATGATGCCGTTCATCAGCCATGGCTGCAGTAAATCAAGTTGGCTCTGTGTTTGCCCATAAGAGACAACTACAATTGGTGCTACGGTTTTTTTTCTATAAAATTGAAGAGGTGAAGTTTATAAAGGCGAAAAACTGTATTGTCTCAGAGGATCGCTTTTTCGGACTTGTGCATTGGTTTCAGGAGTCCAGAATTAAAAAACGAGTGACCTGAAGGGTTTATTCTTTTAGTAACGGAGGCCATTCCACGAATAAGATATCGGCAGTGGAAGTGAGTTAAAACTGTAGCCATCAGGACAGAGGACGAGGTACGTCTTGAATTTTACGCAGCTTTATTGATTTGCTCATGCTCCCTATTTCAGCATAAATGGTTTAAATTCGTATAAAGTTTAGCGTAAAATGAACGATGAGCAGTTGCAAGCCATAGAATTTTCTGCTCGAGCGCTTTCATGTAAATTTATCGAGTGGGAAAATCACTATGTAATTTTTCAAGTTTTACAACAAAATTCTGGCTCATGTTAAAAGTTGCAGTTTCGGCTCGAATTGAACTGGGCGATAAACTGTGTGTACAAAGCGAAGAACTTAAAAATTGAGCGGTATGATTTCTATAGTGCTTACAGTTGGACTTCTTTGTATCACTTAGCACGTCCTAAAGACTAATACACGTAATTTTCAGCTTCTGGAAGCAACACAAGTAAGATTTTGGTTTTACCGGATATGGCCGCTTGAACGGTTTCAAGGCTCCGACCTCTGACGTGTTTGTCATCCACGTAAAGGATTTCGTCCCCAACACTCAGCATAGGTGACAGTGAGGCGATCGATATTCGAGAGATAAATATACCTGATAAGTATAACTAATACGCCTAAAAAACGAAAATTCAAAATAATATGTGTTTTAGAATTTTTTGAAAAGTTAAAGTGAATTACTCATAAAAACAATTCTAAAACTTCAGTTTGGATTTGACAGTGTGACAAGTTGTTGATACTTCGAACGAATGTATCATTCCCTGGCCACTTTTGGCTGTTGCTTCTGCACCGGAATTTCTTGATCATTTCCTAATACGATGGACGAATATTTAAAATCGATACCTCTTTGCCCGTTCAGGGTTTCGATAGCTACGTAGAACCCAAATGGTCCCGGATGTGTTTTTTCTACGAGAACGGTCCGAAGTCCACATTGATCGAGCGCGACCAGTATAGCACAAACGGGTGGAGTCTTTCCTCTGAGGCAAGTCGTTTCCTTTGCCGTTAGATTGTAGCTCTGGCCGTAGAAAATAATGTGCAATTTCAGTTTCACCTTGTCCCGTACTGCAGCACTTCACACTTTCTGCCGACACTCTTAGATCTTCTAGCAAATTGTTGCGGCTGTATAAACTCTCTGGGACGTCTGAAATACAGAAATGTTGAGAATTGCGTTTCTTGTAGAAAATAACAATAACTTGGTAAAAGGTGCAATCTAAAACATAAAAACCTTGCTGAGAAAACCTTTGATTTTGGTCGCCCTAATTCTTCGCTAACTTCTTATAAGAATTCATGTAAGCCTCACCACTCCATAGGAGAGTGGAGAACACTGAGCGTGTTGAGCGAAAATTTCTAGAAATACTAAGCTGAGAAAAGATTAAATTCATTTGATTCGGTATTAGAAGTTTGAAAGAAATGGGAAGAAATTGTAAATGTTATGCGTACTGTTGTGCAGAAAACAAGTGGTTCGACGAGTGGCCATCTTCTTGATGAAGTTCGCTCAGTTTTGACGATCCAAGAAGTGGCACGACAGGCAACCTGCGGCCTCTCTGTGTATTGTTATTGGTATTCGGGAATTTATCTGAGTGGACATTCAGTTTCTCAACGTTATCCCCGCTAAATCTGTGAAGATGGTCGACCTGAAAGTTTTATTCGACGGACAGATTAGGTTTAAAGATTATTCTACAGTATGTCATTATTATGCATATGTGTATGTTTATATATATATATATATATATATAATACATGTATCTATTTAGATGGTTTTACATGTAGATGGTATCATAGGATAGGTAATAGGTGCTATTACTGCGCCTGGTCATTCTTCGTCTACAACTCCTGCGTCAAAAGAAGATCAATATCACTAACTGTTACTCACCAACTTATACAGCTGATGAGAGCGAACTGTACTCGTTTTACAACCATGTGAAGACAGTAATCCGGAACGGGCTATCCTTCGATAAATTCCTTGTTGGAGGCTTTAATGCCAGATTAGAAAAAGCCAACGAAAATGAGTACAGGATAGGGAAACGAAATGAGAATGGAAACTGTATTATAGGACTTCTGCCCGCTTCACGCCTGTTCCATGCGAAGTCATTTTTCAAGAATGTAGGAAATCCGCAATGGAAATGGGAGTTTGTTAACGGTAGGGCCCATGCAAAGATCGATCATATTCTTATGAAAAAAATTTGCTTCTTTGACACCTCATTGGTACTTAGATTCTGTGCTGGATCCTGTCACTGTCTTCTCCGCCCAACGACTCGATTAAGCCATAAGTTCGAAGAGAACTCCTGCCATCGTCCGAGAAGATGGATACCAGCCGTGGATGACTGGGTTATTCTCAATTCTCTCCTCATGTGAATAGTACATAATGGAAAAGTCGAACGACAGCTACAAGCTGCTTTACGAAGGACTTGAAACTTCTGCCGAACATGCTACATTTCCTCACACAAGAACTTCAAATTGCATGTGCATTAGCACTAAGTAGTTGCACCAAAAAAAAAAGAAAGAAATTGAAGCTTGGTTCTACTGGAACTCACCTGACACGGCTGGTAATAAATCCTAGCTGTAGAAGTTGATTGCAAGAGGATTTACATCGCTATACACAAAAAGTGTTATTCGAAACATTTCAAAAACAATCTAGTCTGGAGAAATGCCGTCAGAACCCTTGCTCCTATAATGTTCTGCTGTGCTCCCTGATGAACGTGGATGGGACTATCACCACACCTTGTTCTGTTATGGAATTGGTAACGGAGGGATTCTAAACCAATTTTTTCCGTTCAACAACCACAGTTTCGGACTTGAAAATCTCTGCTGATGAAGAACTGCCATGGAGTCCTACCTTCTGATTTTCTAGCTGAGATAGAAAGCATTAACAGAAGCACAGCTCTAGGAGCCGATAATATCACACTAATTTCGTTTGAGCTGACGGCCACAAACTACATGCACTTCTCTCAACCCATATGACATTTTACCTCTAGAAGGAGGAAATCCCGGGCTACTGGAGGACGTGGGACGCTTTTATCCTACCCAAAAAGCGTAATCAAGGAGATCTCTAAATACTACTCAGTACGCTTGTTGAATGTACTCTTCAAGCTGTTTACGAAGACTATCCTTTTGTGTTAATCGAAGGCCTTGAATGAGGCACAACTAGTTGACCAAGGAGGATTCTGACAAGGATTCTGCTCCATAGGCAACATCCGAACCGTGTCATAGGTCATAGAAATCTGAGGAATTCCGCCTGCCTTTTGTTTTAACATTTATCGATAATGAAATCGTCGAGACGAATTCAATACCATCAGCACTCGGTCAATCAAGAGGTGGAATAGTCCTATATACGAGCACTAGCTGACATCTTGTAAAGCAAATGTATTTATAGTACGCTTTTCTACTCCTTTTTATTTGTAGATGCACTCAGAAAAGTGCAAATGACGATCACTTAAGTAAGAGGAATAGTGGGTGATATGTATGACTGCGAACTATTCGCGAAGACTATAGTTTAAGAGTGGGAGAATTTAAGATGAAGTAGATATTTCATTCTTTAATACAGCAACAAGTTGTTTTTTTGTGTTGGCGTGTCGAAGTTTACTGGTGTCACCAATATTCGATGATTCAATAACTACTCTACCTGGTAGTTGACGCTTCTCGTAGGTGTGCAGTAGAAGTTCGGAATCTCGTATTTCTCCAATCGTGGTAAGGACGACGATCGATTGTGAAGTGTCCACTTCAACGCATCATATACATTCTGTCGAATAACGAAATCTCTGATCGACTCACAACATTTCTTTTTTTCCCTAAAACTCCAACAAATATGTCTTTCAACATATCGTTTATTTATTTAATTCTACCTTCGTGAGCACGTGAAATGTGTATACCTGTAGTTATGCATTTTAATCGTTTTTCTTAACGGCACTGTAATTCCACGGCCTAGAGCTGCTCAATAGTCCCGTTCGCTCAAGAGACAAGATAACAGTTTTGGTATGAGGTTTTTTTTAGTGTTTTCAACTACGAGATAGCCATTCATGGAAATTTCGCATTTCTGAGGTTGGATGGCCTTAATGGGACAGTGGTCTCCGCTGTGAACCATAGTTCAGTAACCAGGTGGAAGAAATCCTGAAGAAAACCTTTCACTGTTTATAAAGTTTAGCGTAAGTACACCACTGAATTCTAACATTCTTGATGTCGAATGTATCCACGAATATCCATCAAATTGAACTTTAAATTGAAAGAACTGATCGTCAATGAATGACTGCAATTGCGAATTTGAGCTCGTTTAGTGTAAGTGTCGGCAAAAAACTTAAAACGGTGCTGGAAATGGCATAAATTGCCCTATCCATTGGACGCGTTATTAGGGCGAGTACCAATGGATATACGATGAAGTGCTTTTTCTTCAAATTTTAAATAACACTTGCTTCGTGTGCTGATAAAACATGTGCTCAGATGTTTAAAAAAGGGAGCTTATAAGCTAGCACAAGAATAGAAGGACTGTTTTGACTACGTGGTGGCAGATAAGAATTTCGAGCTGACTCTTTCACTTCTAGATCTCGTCCTCATTAGAACACCTGAATTCCCCAGTCTCATATTATTTCTCACTACATGACACGACACCATATCTATCTCGTTTTGCCAATCTTCAACATTTCTTGCATTCGATTCGCTCCCTCACACGCATCATACACGATAGTAACTGCCACGACCGACTTTCTATTAACCTCGGCATTGATCAAGTGATTTTCTTCGTATTTTTGTTGAGCAAACGCGAGGTGTTACTATTCTTTGTTCACGATTAAGCTGACGTTTCGGCGGATTTCGCCTTCTTCAGAGCCTGGAAAGGTCAAGTTGATAGCAATCCACTCGGCCAGACGCCTCCATAACCAAACAAAGAAACTCCAAACCAAGATTTCAATCACTTTGAACACAGCTTTGCACACTCACCGCTTTCTATGAGGTTTCCACTAAGTATGTCACGTAGAGACCAACCGCACAGAAATCACGTGGAAGTATAATGTGCCCCTCACATCAGAAAAGCAGTTTTATATACTGCCCTATATCACGCGTGATAATGAGGCATTCTTCCCTGCGGTTCATTTTCGGATTTCTGGAATTAATCCAGAGTGCCTCGAGAGTTTTTCGCGTCTGTGTTCTTGATTCGCGTGCGAGGATCGTGACACATAGTTCGAAGTCGTCCCCGTTATGTCTCTGGGTCCCGTTACGCATGGGATGTTCATGTGTTGTGTTCATGTTCATGTGTTCAAAGTGATTGAAATCTTGGTTTGGAGTTTCTTTGTTTGGTTATGGAGGCGTCTGGCCGAGTGGATTGCTATCAACTTGACCTTTCCAGGCTCTGAAGAAGGCGAAATCCGCCGAAACGTCAGCTTAATCGTGAACAAAGAATAGTAACACCTCGCGTTTGCTCAACAAAAATACGAAGAAAATACACGATAGTCTTTGAACCTTTGAGTGGCTTCGGCCGCTGTTTAAGGATTTCATGGTCTTTGACACGAATCCACGTCTACCTAGGTCGGGAAATCAACATAATGAACGACTTTGCTCCAGAGTTAAGCAGAAGGAGACGCGCGGCTTGGCAAGCTTTCAAGAGTATCGAGGTTGTAGTGAAGAGAACAAGGAACACCCGACTCCGTGCCCACATTTTCGACTCAACGGTACCTCCTGCCCTAACGTATGGGTCAGAAACCTGGTCGCTGCGTAGGCAGGTTGAAAGATCATCCAGCGTTATTGAACGCGCATTCGAAAGTACGATGCCAGAAGTATACCGTGTCACAAGTAAGGGAAGGAATGTGAAGCTCGGATTTGCGTCAATGATCAAAAATCAAAGATGCCGTTCTATACTCCAAACAGTAGAAGATAAAGTGGGCCGGACAAGTAATGCGTATGGACGACAACCAATGGGCAGGAGCCATTAGTGACTGGATTCTTCGGGATGTCAAACGCACTGCAGGAAGACCACCGACCCGATTGTCAGAGTCTTTCCCGAAAAGATTAGTTAAAAGATATGATGCTCAACGAGTTTTTAGAGAGAGCGAAACGCACTGTGGCCCTTTGCACGCGGAAGAAAATGGAAGATTCACTGGCGCCCTCTCGAGTCACTCGATGATCAACGGTACTACAAGTGATACACGTGACACGACTCTGGGTGAATTTGGATGGAAGAATCCGAGTCGATTCTTTTCTTGAGCCTGAGAAAACCGCTCTAAAACGTTCCTAATGGATTAGAGTGTGAGTGAGGATGTAGCCTTCTCCCAGGTCAGTTCGGTGCCAACTGTAACGCAGTGGAATAATAGTATCCTACTTAATCACAGCTCAGCTCAATGATTTAATGCTTCGACATGGTGAAGGGGCACCTCAGGCAATTAAACTTAACGGAGGGGGTTCTTCCCAGTTAGTTCTACCCATTACCCTAATGACATGCTTTGCTGTGGTGAAGACATTCTAAGAAGGAGTTTGATATTTACACTTAGAAGCCAACCAATGGGCAAACGTCTGCCAAAAACCGTTGCTTTACTTCAGCAGACGTGCTTACTTCATGGCAAGAGATTGTATGTATGTTACAGTAGAAATGGATAGATGTATATACATA